TTTTTTTCTGCTTTTGAAATTTGTCTCTAAGCCAGTGGAAAATAACCAAGAAAGTGGGTGTTTCCTAAACTCCAGTTACAAAAATGAAAAAAAAACATGATAGTTTGGTAAACTTGAACCCAATTAAAGGCGAAAGTGTGGAGGAAAGTTGGGATACCGTGCATGCAGGCCAACGAGGAAGAAACGACTGCCTGGGCAAAGGTATATCTCAATTAAATCTTTCTTCTGACGATGTTTCTGTGATTCGAACATAATTTAGTGAAATATATATGTCAATAAATACTGATAGACAGACTATTTTTTTTTAGAACCAGCGTATAGAAGGTCCACCTCGACTGTCAGAGAGCACAAAATTCCCAACCAAAGTGAGGGTGTGGTCTGTAATCTCTGCCAATGGTACTGGAAGATTAGACTGTAAAATATATATAGAATATAAAAGGTAATCTAAATCAAGTTGGACATTATTGACAGACATCTTCTGCTGCATTTTCATGTGTAATAACGCTCCCTGCCATAAAGCCAAAAGTGTTAAAAAAAAAAACATTTAGATAATCATAGCATTAAAGTGCCAACTTCGCTTATATAATCAGATGTATCATGGATAACCTTTGTCTAAATTGCGTTTAAATGATTTGGTGCCCAAAAAGTAACGTCGGGGTAATCTTTTGAAATCGTGAAATAAATCAAGAATCGGATTTAGCATGGCCCAGGGTCCAGGAACAGTTGCCAGTTATTCTTTTCCTGAGATAAGCTGCACTATAATTACTAATGAATGTGTCAATGGAATTCCTCAGATTTCGGGGAAATTTGATACACGAATAGAGAGCTGTAAGAGACGGTGATCAGTACAAAACAAAGATGAAGATTTGAAGATAATTGGCTGTTTCAGTCAGTTCTCAGGGCGTTTTTTTTTTCTAATCTAAATTATTTTAGTATATCTAACATATTTATGAAATTAGGGATTTTGAATGAAGCCATTTATTTCTTTTTCACTAAATTTCTCTCTCTCTCTCTCTCTCTCTCTCTCTCTCTCTCTCTCTCTCTCTCTCTCTCTCTCTCTCTCTCTCTCTCTCTCTCTCTCTCTCTCTCTACTACTACTACTACTACTTCTAAATAAACAGAAAAACACAGGTATTCGTTGTGACATAACATGAGAATGACATTGTTGAACGTCATTAAAACAGACACAGAGATGGGAAGGCAGCTAGCGAAACTGCGTGTAAGAGAGAGTGAGGGAGACAGACAGACAAATAGACAGATAGACAGACAGAATAAGGTTGAGAAAACGAAGGAGAGAGAGACAGAGAAGGAAGGAGGGAAAAAGAGAGAGAGGAAAGGAGGGAAACTCTCCCTTTTTAAGATTTACCAGATCCTGTGGCGACCAACACTAACAAGTGTGTGTATGTTTGTATTATTATGATTAATATTGTACTATAATAATCATTATCATGTTATCATCTATTATTGTGTGTGTGTGTGTTATGGTGTTATTATGTTATATTGTAATAATAACTGATATACTATAATGCGTATGTGTGTACAGATAATGCCACAAAAGAATTAGTCAAAAAGAATATCAAACGGTCTATAAAAAATAATTCCATCACAATTACAGTGCAAGGTCAATAACGAAAAAAGTTATAAACCACACAATTTTATTTGCAATGACTCATGACACAGTGATCTTCCCAAGAAGACTTTGAGCCAATCGTGATGCGCTATGACATCATCAGGTTGAAATGTGTCCCCTTTACCTTCCACCGCCGTAAGGAACTAGGAAAAAAATAGAGCAAAATTAAGAAGATTAGGACGAGGGAATAGAGCATAGATCAATTTATAATGAACATGTATTAACAACTGCATTCATAATATTCGTATGTTATCCTTGGTTGGTTGACATACTAGTAAAGTTAATATCGTTGCATATGCTCTACGTATGTACTGTTCATCTCACATATACAAACGTACTTTTTTCATCCGATATGATATAGTTTAGCAATATACGTCCTTATATCCTCATCATTTAATAAACCATGACTATCATTCTGTACAGCCTCCTTAGACATAACATATTACACATCTCTCCACTAATATCACCTTCCCGAACATGCTGGACCACACAACATATATACCAGGGAATAATGCATATTTTTTCACGTCAAACGCAAACGCAACTTACTGTAGTGCACACTATATATACCAAAGAATAATACCTATTTTTTTTACAGTCGAACGAGACGCATCAACGCATCAGACTCACCCACAGCCAGGCACTCTTTCCCGCAGCCAATCGGACAGCACTTCTGGCCGGGTCCGCACTCGCTGTCCGAGAAACAGTTCCGTTCTGTCACGACGCAGGGGGTGAAGATGTCGCTCGTATCCGGGCACGTTCCTGGCCTGGGACTAGGAGTAGGACGGGGCCTAGCTGAAAAATCGAAACAGAATGATGGTAATAATGATACAACTAATGATGAGGATGATAATATTAATGATAGTGGTA